TTGTGTTCAGTAGAAGAACATACTCCCCAGACAGTTGGTCTGCTGGGCACACCTATGTCCACTCATGCCTCATCATATAGGAGGAATTCTTCTGCACTTCAAGTCCTCGTATTTCATTCTGGGTGTAAACAAAACTGTTTAATAAACTCTGACCATTAAGGTACCATATCTTCCTTTGATCACTAACACAGGCCACTGTGTTTTTCATAGATCAGTTGTTTGGACAGTGTGGGAGTATTCTGAGGTTTGCATTAGCAGGATATTTACACTTGAAAACATACTGATGATCCAAACCAAGGACCAACATCTTTGATCAACCATAAACTGCCTTCTCTAGTCCTGACCTGACACCTCCTCGGGTGAGAGCAAGGAAGTTTCAAGAAAGAAAATTAAATTAATGAGCTGTTTCCAGGGACAAATTCATTTCTTCCCTTCCCTTGCAAAGGTCTTGCTTACATGGCAATCTGCTCCCAAGAGGTATCAGAAGTCACAGAGGGCTTTGCTGGTCCTTCCACAAAATCAGTGCTACACCTTAGAAACAAGCCAACATGCAGGGCTTAGCTGTGCATTGGTACCACTGAAGGGAAGAGAGTCGAGGCTGTGCAGCTTCTGCCTGCTGAAACTAAAAGCCCCCTCAGATATGGCCAAGGTGGGACAAGCACCTGGAAGCTGACGCCTCTCGTCTTCCTAAACTGGTGCTTTGGCAAATCTCCCTGCTTTTTGCACATACCGAAGGAAAAAAGAAAAAAAAAAAAAAAAAGAGAAGAAGAAAAATACCCCCCAACCTAGCTTTCAAACAGCTCAGTCTCTTAATTCTGGGGGTTCAGAAGCTGAAGGTATTGCCCGTTCCCTCTCCAAACGTCAGCCCCTACAGCCCACAGCCTGTTTCAAAACCCAGAGTCATCCCCCTCAGAGCAAACCAGACGTCACCTCAACTCTGTTTGGTGAAGCCTCTTCTCCACACAATCCCAAATGCACACCGCTGATGGCTGGCCACAAGCTTGACCCATCCTGAGGATTTCATTAATCTCTTTGGAACATCCCACTGACAACTCCAGCAGTTTATGTTATGATAAAATGTGGCCATTAACTGCAGTTCAGTTAGAAAACAAAAGCCTAGTTTCTAGGCACTATTTTGTTTTACCTTATGAAAGGGTGGAAGGAATGGGGAGATGAAAATATTACTGACATAAGTGAGTCAGTACGAAAAATGTTTTCTCTTTTAAGAGAGAAGGTGCTCAGACCACACTGTCCTCAACTTGTATGTCACTGAAGCCTCCATGAGTATTGTTTTCATATTTCTGAGGGCTTTGAACGAGAGGGTCAAATTTCTCCCCAAAGGTTTTATGCTATTTCAATCAGCATCGATCTCCGATCATTCGTGCTCTCTCCACATACACCCCTATCTAGGGCACAGTCTCAAATGGGACCAAAAAAGCCTTGCTGTTAGCCTTGTCTACAGTGGCAAAAATCAGTTTGATAATTCAGTAGCTGGTAGAAATTTTAGCCTCAGGCTTGGTTTTGTTTTTAGCCATCAGGGAACGGCCAGCTGTGCTTTGCTATTCTGTGCAGCAGCGCGCACATCTGGGCTGGAGTCACATGCTCATGCTGTTACTGTCCAGATGAGGGTCTTTTTTCCTTTGCTCCAGCAATACTGAATTAAGCCACTTCATTACACTTAATTGGAGCCAAGGGATACTTCCAGGCTGTGAGCTTTGGTGAACATTTGTATTTACTGAAGCTTTCTCTTCTCTCCTGCCTTCTCAAACTCATTTCATTGAGAGGAGCAGGCAGGTTTCTTTTTCTTTATATTTTTTTCCCTCAGAGGTGCACACTGCCTTTCTCTTGCGGACTGCTGGTTTAAAACTATACATGCCAGCCATTCTGTAAAGAATTATTTCTGCCTGAAAGTATTTTATTAGCTACCAATAATCACCTCAGACAATTGTTAACCTCATAAAAGTCATGGTGTCTTTGAACTTTCTCTGGACACTGCCAATGTTGACTGAATAGGCACCTTCTGTGGCCTTCAGAGACAAGTTTTCCTGACCAGAAGGAGTATTTGTCAGCAGAAAAAGATGAAAAAAGGTCATACATTAAACCCTTCCATTTCACCTGCCAGTTCACCAGCGAGACCTCAAGATCTGTACAGACTCTTCCTTATGCAATAAAATGTCATCAAACGTCAGGAAATATCAGGTTGTTGTTCAAATTATTAGTCCAAAGGAAGCGTGACACAACTTTTTTTAGGTTTTGGGGTTTTTTTTAAGACAAAGGCAGCTGTTATTTTCTGGCTCATAAGATATATGCTAAAATGCAACAGAAGCCTTAAATATTTAGGAAGTTCCTTCAAAAAATAGTGCTTTTTCTCCTGTAATTTAACCTTCTAGTGTTCTCAACAGGAAAAGAAAACATTATATTCCAAATTAATCCACTAAGACAAAAGGGGGAGAAAAAATTGGATTTTTTTTTTCCCCTCAGCCAAAGCAAGTAAATGAACCAATGATCAAACCCCAAAACCACCCAAAGAACAAAGCTCCTTAAGGCATACCAGAAGAATCTGAGGCATTTTTCCCCTCCATGCAGAGATATTAGCGAACAACTAAACACAACTTTTTAGCATTTGTTTTCAAGAGTGTTTACAGGCCAAGTCCACACAGATCACCAACATGGCTGTATGTTTGAATCTGTAGCAGCAGTAGCCTGTGGAGCCAGAACCGCAACTGAAGGTAGCACTGAAGAGTGGTAAGCAGCTTCTAATATCTTTTTTTAACTGTAGTTTAACAGCTGCATATTTTTAACAGAGGACAATTAATATAGGTGACTATATATATGCACACTTTTATATACAGATACAGAGAATACATACAGATGGATATATTTATACACAAGCACACACGTTTTCATATGTGCTTTTTACATGTACGTGAAAGAGTCCTTTAAGCTGAAAGGAAAAAGGGTGGAAAAGGGCACGTCCTTTTTACAGCTGCAAGAATCTGTGAGCCACATCTTGCCCACCTCTGCACAGATGATGTGACAAGTCCTGCAGACTCATCCAAAGTGCAAGTTTCTTTAGCCAAACATTTCCCTCCTTCCCATCAGTAAAAATAAATAAATAAAGAAGAAAAAGAAACAAAAAGGGAGCCTTGAGGGACTGGATGAGTCACAGTAATGAACTACAGACACTCATTCCTGGGTCAGCAGTTCACGCCTTGCCCATGTCAGGAGGTACAGCGAATTGCTGGCAGTCTGGACCTGGAGGAACCCACTTGACAGTTCCCAGTCCCAAGTGTGGGATCCCCTCAGCACGGCTGTCAGCAGCAGCAGGAGGAATATGATGGAAGGGAATGGAAAGCCCCAAAATACTCGCCAGCTTTGGAGAGAGACCACTGTGTTGATCCCCACCCAAGCTGCTGCCTCTGCTCTGTCCATAGGGAGGTCTCTAGCACCCAGTGATGCCCAGCACGTGCAGATGCCAAGTGCCCCATGCCAAAGGACACGCGTCACAGCTTCACAGTGCAATCTGATTTTGACATGTTTCTGGCATGGTATTTGAAACAAACAGTCTGCAAATTCGTTAGGAACAGGGTACGTTAGAGGGTGTACCCTGTACTTTCCCACAATGCTTTACTTGCTTGCTCAGTTTACTCTGAAAAAATGTTATATACACGTAAAAGTTGCCAGTTCTCCTACTCTGTGCCCTGCTTCAGTGACTGTCACAGAGCAGCATATTTATAGCTTCCATAGACATTTGGCAGAGCTACAGAGGTGAGACTTCTGCTTGTGAAATCTAAAACAGACCAAGACTCAATACTTTTTATTCAATGTGGCTCTAAATGAACAATACAGCTAACATCTATGAAATGTGCATGACCATCTGGACTTCGATCAGCTCTTCAAGTGGGCATCGATGTAACATCCTGACCAGCAAGCACGTTACCCCAGGAGGCACTCCAGCAACCCGCAACTCAAAGCACAAAGGGAACACTGGTCTTCTAAACCTAATACCTTCTTCCCCATAATCTCTATACCCAAGTATCTCTCTCTCCATTTCCCCAGAGGCCACACTCCGCACAGAACAACCACTAGCTGTTTGATGGTGCCCTCACAACAGCAAATCATCTAAGGCAGATCCCCTCACATGGTATCAATTGAAAGGGTGGAGAAAGAAGGACCAGAAAGGAAAACACCCAGGAAACCTTCACAGACAAAAGAAACGGAGCTTTTTTTAAACACTGCACTTCCTGATTTCTTTTTCTCTGCCTTCAGCAGAGGAACACTTAGAGTCTTGACACGTTTCAGCAGAAGTAATGAAACACTTTTGCACCACAGCATTACTCTGACATTTAATTGACCACGTATTTCCATCTTTTAGCCTTACGTGATTCCCCCATCTGAAACATTACCCTTTTAAAATTAATCACTCCATTTATGCTTGTTTGGATTTTTGTGTCACAGTTTCTACCCTGCCTCTCTGTCTCTTGCCTCTCTCATTGCCACTGAAAGCCCAGAAGTGATTTTGTACCTGCGGTCAGCATGATGAATTTTCTTCTGCTTTATTTACTTTAATGTAAGTCCAGCTGAGAGCAGGTCAAGTCTTCACTAATTACCAGTATTTTTCAAACAGGTTATGCTTTTTATGCTGGCAGTATTAAGTTCAAAGCGGATATGTGTTTTTCAGTACACAAGAGCAAGGCCAGCATAGTAACTTTGGTTTAAAAATCTACTGCCTCATGTCTGATTCTTGCTCTATTTAAAGACAACACAAAGGTTGCAGCTAAGTGACACCCTGGGCTACAATACCATGGACCTTCTCTGACTGAGGTCCATTTTGCACATTACCATATCCACTTCCCACAAGGAAAGGACCATGCAATAACATAACCCCATTAATGTGAATAAAACTGATGGTTATTTAGCAGTCCTCTCACATGAATGCACAAGCTCAGCATTCCCCTGGACAGCAGCTGGTGGCACAGAGCAAGCCCCCTCTTGCATACCTGTTCTGATGTTCCTGCAGCACTTGGTAGATGCTGATAAGGAAGGTTTGGTTTTTAAAGCTCCCCACAACGCAGTCCTTGTAGATCCGAAACTCAGCGGCTGTGACAGCCTCGCCCTCAGGAATCTGAGACAAATTAAATTTGAATTCCTTGTGGTGCCGCTGGTGAGGCGTGAACTCCTTGTCATACTCAACTGCAGATGGGAAAATGAAAGAAAAGGAAAAAAGGAACCATGACTAAAATTTAACAACAAAAGGTTTCCACATGCTGCCACCTGTTCCTTCAAAAAAAATAAGTATCCTATTTTCTTCTCCAAAGATAGCCTTGGCAAGTGCCAGGAAAGCTTATGCAGCTAAAGCCTTTCAAATGCAGTACTAAGAAAAGATTAATGTTTCTCTTCTCTAGCCAATGCCTTTGAGATTTCCTTATTTTTTTTAAAGAAAAGTCAGCTTTGACAGGTGAAATATGACCACGTATGTTGCTCCTGTGTAAAACTCTGAAGATGTGACCACCCCCAGCATTTTCCACCTGCGAATCTCCATGCTCTTTACGGCATTTCCTTAAGCCTTGCACCCCTTTTCCAACAGAGGAGACAATTAGTTCCATTTTGCTTTAGCACATAAAGGCACAGACAGAACTGTTAGCACCAGGTCAACTAATTCCCTAACTGTCCTAAAAAATGCTGTTTTCTGGCTCCTGGGTTTGTGCGTTAGCCATTGGACTGCCTTGTGAGCAGAGTAAGATTAACATGACATTTATTTCAATGGTTAAAGTTAAACAGAGTTCCCCTTCCTTTTGCAGAAGCTTATTTGAGAATGAGAGAGCTGAGGAGGAGTGACACCTTGTGCTTTCTGGTCTTAGCCCTTCTTGTGTATGCTATCGGATACAGGGTTTAAGACAGATGCAAACCAGAGCCCCTCCTACTTAGGCCTCAGGATTTGCATTTTCTCTGTTTGAGGCTCCCTTTGCAAACTCTACTTCTAGTCCCACTCCTGTGTTACTTGATTATATCCTGGTTTAGTCTGACTTTGATTTATTATTTGTTATTTCTTCTAATTTTCTATCAGAAATTGCTTAAAACATTAACATACTATATAAACATACAAAATCACATCTTTAAAACCCTGAAGGGAAAAAAAATAAAACAAAAAACCTTTTCCCACCATGCAACTGAAGGAGTACATGTCAATGATGAATAAGTCACCATTATATTATCATTAGGGACATGATTACATTCAGAGAAGGCGGTGAGGGAAGTGCAGATCCCTTTTCACGTTTGTCTTTGTGCTCACTTTTTGTTGCTCCCCCCCTTAATACATCAAACTGCAAAGGCGTCCATAAGCCTACCCTCACAACATCCCATGAGGTAAGCAGCAATCCCTGTTTTACAGCTGGTATACTGAGTCACCAGGAGAGTGACTTGTCCAAGGACAGGCAGCAGGAGGGCTTGCCACGGAGCCAGGAACGACGGCCAACGTGCTCAAGGTTCGTTGCTTTACCCACAGGTTACCTCCCCGGAAAGCACATAACATCTCCTGGCTGCTGGAAACAGCCCATGGAGATTTTCCCCTCTACCTTTCCCAACTGCCTGTTCCTCCTTGTCCCCCAGTCCCAGTTTCGTTTGTGTCCTCTCCCCTTCCTTTGGCAGCCCTTTCATGTGAGCTGCCTCATCTGGCTGGGTCCACGTCCTGGCTCCCTGCAAGACAGTTAGTCACATCCTTCTCTTTGAAGCTCGCCTGGAAATCTTTTCACCTCCGCGTGACTGCTGCCGAGCATTTTGTGGGACACCACACTTGGAGATGCTGCGTTCAGAGCTGCCATGGGGTGAAGAGGCAAAATCTCAAACTGCTGTCAGAGTCGGACACTGCTGCCAATTTTGGCAGTCTCGCATTCCGTCTGAGCAGTTTAGATGTCAAACAACTGACAAACTTGGGTGACCAGACCCTATGGCTTCCAGAAATGAGGTGGTGACACACAGCATCTCCGTCAGAGATTGCACCAAGGCAAACGACGGTACTGCTCACTGCCAGTGCTGCCTAGGAATTACCTCGCTGGGCACCAGTTATTGGCAATCTAGGCTTCCCTTTGAAGCACTTGCCCGTGCTTTAAATTGGGAATGACTGTGGCAATACTGGACTGGTTGGCGTCACTTGTGTGTACGCCCTCTGAGAAGGACCCTGAGCTGGCCGGTTACTCCCCATCCGAAGGCAAGCTCTGCAGGATGCACCTCCCAAAACAGAGTGTCCATGTACTTTCAGAAACTTGCAAGCATCCAGCCCAAAAGAAACTGCATTCCGCTGCTTGCAGCAGGACGATGTGCCCAACTTACTGCTGCAACTCTCTAAGACGAGAGGATGTAATTAATAGTGAGGGAATGTCTAAATCCACGGGTTTGGAGAGACATGCGTATGAAGTGACGGTTCTCAATTTAGAACTTGCTAAGTCCTTGCTTGTGGGTGCAATGACCAGCCAAAACCCACGTCCCGTCCCCTCCCATTCTGTCACGGGGATGAGCTGACCTGCGGCCGAGATGCAGCGAGGATGCCTTCCTCTGGGCTCGTGGCTGAGAATGATAAAGGAGGATCAGGAAGAGCAAGGGGAAGGACACAGCCAGGATGAGCAGAACTCCATTAGGGTGCCGGAAAACTAAAATTACACCAGAAACAGCAAAGGGAACATTTGACGCTTCCTGCCAGCTATGGCCCTGCATCAAGATGCGATGTGGCCTCTACAAAGCACACGAGGGAGAGCGCGGGGCCGTTCCAGCCGGCACGGGGCTCAAAACGAGCCCAAACATCACTTTTTGTTGTTCCATTCCAACCTCAAGTCAGCTATGGCAGCCTGACCTCCACGCGCCTCCACTACAAAATATGCAGTTTAAAAGCAGTATAGCCAAACTGTAGTCCTTTAAATCAGTACTTTCCCATACCTCTCTTCTAAAAAGTCAAACATAAGCCTCAAGAGGAAGAAAACCCCACCAAAACATCTACCACAGGGCGTCAAAAGTAGTAGCAGGTATGATGCCTGACTCCAAATACCCTTTCCCAGTTTCTGACTTGCCTGATATATTTACAATAGTATTTTCCTGTTTTTTGAAACTTTCTTCCTTTCTCCCTGTCCTTGTACAAATACCCCACACAATCACAGAAGCTGACTAAACTGATTACAGGGGGTTCAGACTGATTTTATTATCAGGCTTGGCACAATAAACAACCTGAAACACACAAACAAGGAAACCTTTTTTTAATCCTTCAGATTAAGTAATTTAGCTTTTTCTGCTGTAAGAAAGGCATGTTCAGAAAGAAATACTGTTAAGTTGATGGTGTCCTCCTCAGCTCCATTCAGAAGCATCCCTACATCACAGGATGGAAAAAAGCCTACATTAAGCTTGTATGAAGCACACATAAAAGTTTAATGAGTTGGAAAGTTTTTCTGGCTATGTATCTTCCCATGATACAATGGAGGGTGGTTTTTTTTCTTTGTGGGAGTGGTGAGATATTTAAGTTCTATATACTCATTGTCACCCCATCAAGTTAATAATCAACTGTTTTCATTCAGCAAGACAGCTTAAAAATATAAAATGCCAACAGCTCTTCTCTGGGGGCTTTTTACCCCCTGGAAACTGTTCATTTTTAACAAAGAAGTTAAGTTTTAGAACAGTAAAATTTGGAAAGGCAAGATCCAAGCTGCCAGTTCCCAGGATTACCCAGTCTGTATTGCTATCGCGTTACAATGCATCAGATGACCTCGTATTCAAAATGCAGACAGCACACACCAAAATACAAGGCAACAGCAAAAAGGAGAAATCATTCCTCAAGCTGCTTTCCAATTATTATTTTTTCCATGTGAATTCATTCAGGTCAGTCTGATTTGTGACATGTGAAAGCTAATTTCCATCTGAAGATGGACACATGCACGTCCCAACTGCGCAAAGCCCTTGCAGGGAAAACCAGACAGCTCACAGCTGGGGCAGGTTGAGAGAAAGCAGCCCTGAGCGGTGCTGGCCTCCCACAACCTCTCCCCAGTGCTGGCTAGAACATCAGGACCAAGCAAGGCAAAACCAGGGATTGTAGGGGTCACGACATGAACTATAGCCATATAACGTTAATCCTCATGGTCAGACTACGTTATCCTAAACATTACTACTCATTTGCCAGAGTAGCTCCTGGGAGATTACCAATCCAGGCATGCACACACCAGGGAGAGTTGGGAGAGGAGATGTCAAAGAGAGTCTTTAGCCCATCATGGGTGTATGTCCTTTGAGCCAAAGGGAGTCCACTCCACCATGCAGGTCTTTGCCCTCATCCTGGCTGGGGCTTCAGCTGCTCCTTTGCAAAGCAAAGGAGGGTCTGAGCTGTGGACAGCGGGAGTACTCGCCCCTGAGATTTCCTTACAGCTCATTTCTGAGCAGAGCGGCTGAGCACGCACAGTTAACAGAGAAGCCTGCCAGTAGCTCTTTACATTCCCCTTAACAAATATTTTTAAATACTATACAAACACAATGCTATTGTTGAGGAGTTAAAAAGGCAAGAATGGCAAAATTAGGGTTACTGTGGGTTTTAATTTTGTGTATTCTAATTCTAACCCACTGTTGCAATAGCCACTTTCAGCACAAAATGTCCTTTGTTTAAAAATAACATACTACTTACAATACTTGTTCTTTAAAAACACTGCACACACACACACAAAATAATTAAGAAATTAACACAAGGCATCTATTTTGGTAACTACACCATCCTACTTCCATTTGACTGTGTCACACCTTGGACCAAAGGAAACGCAACCCTAATGGTGGTTTGGAAATAAACTCTCCTCATGTATAGGAATTTTCAGCATTTCATTTTGGATCTAAAGTAACTGGCAGGCAGAAATAATAGGATGACAGACAAGGAAACACAATTTTTCACTCAGAACAGCAGCACCAAGTTTCATGATACTCAGTGGTTTTTTCCAGTTCTCAACTGAGAAAAGTGTTAGGTCAAGTGCTCAGGTGAGAATCTGGCTTAAGAATGTCTCTAGCTCATACTCTAAGGACTTAAAGCCAAAAATACTAACATGTATACTCATAACCTAGAGCTCCAAAACTATTTTTTTTATTAATAAATTGTCTATATGAATAATTATAATTTCCATGACATCCTGGCTCCTTGGAGGGGGCAGAGGACTGGGGTCACAAATGAATGAGATATGATTATGTGGGATGGGATATTCTGCGTCTGTTCTGTTCCCAGCAAGG